TATTATTAGGAAAGAAAATTATGCAATGGCATCTTCTTTTTCAAATATTTCAAAATAGTTGCGGATGTTTCCGCAACAGTAGGTTATTGAATACTTTATATTTAAGTCCATCAAAAGGAATTTAAGCGAAAGGTGACGTCATAGCAAGACGTGGATTTCGAGTGTGGTAACTTGTTAGGCGGTGGACCCACAACAAACTAGGGATGTCGATAACCGGTAGTTTAAACCGAAAAACCGGTGTTTTCTTTTCAGTTAACCGGTTAATACCAGTTGTTTTTTGCCTCCAGTTATAACCGAATAACCGGGTTTTATACCTAATACCCGGTGAAAGTGAAAAAATAAACACGCAGATTTTTCTCTTGTTTCCATAACTTTAAAATATATTGAATAAGCGACAATAGTCTTTTTAACCGGCCCGTGCCCATCTCTAGTATTTCAGTTTCGGTTAATCCGTTCAGCAGCTGGTTGATTTCCATCTTTCTCTAATGAACGGTATTGAAAAAAGACATGTACATGTAAGTATAAAAAAAATACATAGTTGCGTCCATTGGAACTGGCACTAATTTTTGAACGCCAAATATAAGGCTAAAACTGACACAATTTTGGCATTAACGGCCTGTTAAAAAAAGTCAAATTTTGATGCAATACGAGGTGCGTTCGAAAATTTGTGCCAATTCCAATGGCCGCAACTGTACATGTTAAAAATGAAAGAAGAGAAATAACCATGTTTAGAAAAGTTTAAGTATTCTCTGATGCTTTTTAACATGTAACAGTTTCCGATTTTTTTTACCATTAAGATATGTTCTTGTTTAAGCTATGTTACCTACATTATAATATAAATTATGCAATTATTCTAATATTATTCGGCAAAATAACCGAGCAACCAGTTAACCGGAATAACCGGTGTTTTATATCAGTTATAACCGGGCAGTTATAATTGTTAGTAAATTAACCGGTTAATGAAAAAACCGGTGTTTTGAACAAAAATTGACATCCCTACAACAAACTGTCTACTCCCTCTAGTCACCCAAAGATGTAGGTTGTTCGTAGCAGGTCGTAGTTATTTCCTGAAATGCCATGCTCAGCGCCGTAGTTACTATACAGTCTGTCCCTGTACTTGTATTGTACAGGATGTCAAAATTATTAATAGAAAGACACCCCTCAAAGCTCATATGTTCTGTCATTCACCAAGCTCCCTTACCTGGCAGGTGATAATATTAAAAGTTAACTAACAGAACATCCCTTTCTTGTCAAGATAACAAAGAATAACTAATCTAATACTACACTTAGGAAAGAATATAGTCTTTAAGATAATGCGGTTTTTTAATAAAAGGTCTTCTGTTCCACAGAAGGTTGTATAAATGAGCTATTAGCTGAAATGTCTCTAATAGGCCCACGTTCACTGTTATTTTGTTCATTAGTATATAATTATTACCTAAACTATCGCTTTATCAAAGGTTTCAGTTTTCATCATCATTATTAACAATACTACTATTGGTTGCTGATGAAGGTGATTGGGGTAACTCCGATTTATAATATAGTGCTGGAATCAAGTGTCACTTGTTCATTCGATATTTACCATAATTGGTTTCTATTAGATGAGAACGTGGTTCATCTAAATCAGCTACAACTATGCCATATTCTTTGAGATCAGTTACCTAAACACTGCCCCCTATAGAAAGCTGTTTGGTGTCTTTTATCATAACGCTTAACTAATGTCTCCTCTGCTTTATCAGGTATATTTTTAGTATCAACTGAGTATGCTTGACAAAATTGGTAAATAAGACCTTAATTTTCGGTTCATAAGTAGTTCAGATGGGCTTAAAGATGTTGTGCGATATGCTAGCATAGCTGAACCAAGTCTTTCGAGTTTTTCTTCACTAAACTTTTGGCTACTTTTACAGCTGACTCTACTTCTCTGTTAGAATTATAATAATGGGGGCTACTAGTAATTAAACAGAAGTCATATTTTATAGCAAATTCTCTGAATGTAGACTGAAATTGTCAGAACAAATCTGTTCTGGAATCCCATATCTAACTAAATGATTGCCAAAGTCTGCAGATGATGATAGATTCACTTTTTTTTAAAAAATCTTGAAAAATAGTCGTTCACAATAAGATACCAAACACTATTACAAATTGTACAGATCTATACCTAATTTCTGCCAAGGACGTTCAGGAAATTGTTCTTTGAGGAATGGTTCTCTTATTGGATTAGTTCTGAATTCTATATATTCTGGACGATTTTTGACAAGATTTTCAAATTGTGAAGAGAGACCAAGCCACCATACAGATACCTTTACCCTAGCTCTGCATTTGACAATCCCTTGATAAATAAACTCTAAACAATTTTGCTGTAAACTTGGAGAGATAATAATTCTAGAATTTTGTATCAAAATTTTAGGTTTCTGGAGCCATTCTGATAAAGAGAACTCTGTAAGTTTCTTGCAAATTGAATTATTAGCTTAATTTTCTCAAGAAATGGAGATTTACTTTGGACTGACTAAATTACCAAACTTACATGAGCATCTGCTCATCATCTTCAGATTTCTGGAGATTTTTGGGAAAAATCCTGAATAAGGCATCTGCCATGGTGAGATCTTTTTCTGGGAACATAGTGGATAACATAATCATAGCGCATGGAGTCTTATTCTGAACCTTTAAAGCCTTGGAGTAAGCTCCGTCTACAGGTTTGGTTTGCAACACCTGAACCAAAGGTTTCTGATCTGTTTCAAAAATGACAGAAATATACCTGTGATTTCTTTAAATTCATCTCCCTGCCGCCCATGATGCTAATGCCAAGGAAAATAAAAACGATCATGTTGCTCCAAAGTGGGAGCATGTATTAAAATGGCAACAATATGACTGACAACGCCATTGATTCCTGACAATATTTTATTCAAGAGAATAGAAAAATACTCTGGGGAACTTGTTATACCAAATGGTACTCTTTTGAAAAAAAAAAAAACGACCGAACGGGGTAACCACTAAAAACCAGAGCTGGTATTCAGTTTAGAAAAACATTGGGAACCTTTGTACCCGAGCTACCCATTATTCATTTACATCAAAATTGGTTTTCCTCAACTTTTGCGATGTTTCAATCACCTGGTATACGTACGACTCCATATTTTTACAATTGTTCAACCTCAAAAAAACAAATTTCGCAATAGCCTAATTTTTCTGGTAAAACCTACGTCCTCGTAAAGATTCTTGATCTTATCCCAGACTTCCTTGCATATGGTTGCTCCCTTTACATGCACATAAGATGCCAATTTAAAAACTTTCAATGCGAATATCTCTGAAAGTAAAAAACGTAATTTTATACAAATGTTATACAGGTAGGGGGAACTAACTATATTTTGGTTACAGAGTGCGTGACACCTTGGGCCCCATACACCCCAACCTCAAAATTTTGAATGGCACCATCCATTTGTGCTGTGATACCTAAAATTAAATATTTTTGTGTATAATATTCACCATTCAAAAAATATTACATTTCAGGTAGGTACCTATCACAAAAGGGATGGTGCTATTTGAAATATTGGGGTTGGGGTGCATAAGGCCCCCAGGGGGTCATGGTCATTATAACCAAAATATGGTAGTTCTAGTTCTCCCTACCTCTATAACATTTGTACCAAATTACGTTTTTCTATTTTTTTTACTTTCAGAGATATTCGCATTGAAAGCTTTCAAATGGACACCTTGTATAAGGAGCGGTCTAGTCTAATGTCAACAAGAATTTGACATTAGCTTTTGATACAAGAGAACTGTCCGTCTCGGAACCGTCAATCAATACGCGATAGACCCTCAGAATAAAAAGACAATTTCAATCGCGAAGCACCACTCCTCATAATTTTTCCGTCCAACCAATTATTTGAAAGTACCTAACAGTCGTTCTATATTGATAACGTATGTCGCTTCTTGAACACACAAATAAAATTAGGTCAGTAATTACTTATATGTATGTAGGTACTTACATGACATTGACGTAATAGCCAACGCGAATCCGCAAACGCATTTAAAATGCAGTCCACTATTTACATGTCGAACAATAAGCCAGCAAACAATTCACCCAGAAATACTGAATATCGAATCAGAGAACTCATACTGCGCTTTTCAACTCACGATCGCGTAAACTTATATTCTGGGCCCATAACCTATTAGAAAAGGATTTTTTTCATAACATATTAACTATATTTTCTTGACATCTCTATCCACGTAACGTAACATAATGACACAAACAGCAAACAGGTGCGATGATAGTTAAAACCTGAAGACTATTTTATAGGTATACCTACTACCTATTATACAAAGTGTACCATTTAAAACGAAACAGGCTGAATATCTGATACCACGTTTATTTATTTTTTTAGATGAATCGGGGTTGTGCAGCCGAAGCCGAGTATATCCGAGCTGCCGAAGATGCGTAATAGTTCAAATTTAATGGATCGCTGAAATACAGCAGGAACGTTGGCCAACCCAAACGGCATTCGTAAATACTCGAAATGTCTATCAGGTGTAATGAAATTTGGTGAAATCCTGCAGACTTATCAAGTGAAGTGAAAATATGGCAATTTCCTAAACGATCGAGCAGGAGTGGGACTTTGTCTTTTACAGTGTGCGAATAGAGTTCTCTGTAGTTCACACACATTTTATACGGTCTTTTTTAATATCATGCAGGTACGATCAATTATTCACGGTTACAATCCTGCAATGAAATGGATCAACTAGTCCCATTGAAGCATATGTGTCTAGTAGCCTGGTCTTGTCTGTATATCAACTATTAATAATATTAATCACTTTCCATTATAATCTAAGATTTACTCCACATAAACAATACACTTTAATACTTTAGAACACTTCTAAAAATTGCTACAGCCACACATCTACTTTGACCACTTTTGCTTTTAAGTTTCCAGCAAGCTTGTATTATGTAATTTTGACTTGAAAATCTCACTTACTTCTTCTAGAATTACTAAAGTCTGTTTATTGTCCTGTAGGCTTCCAACAACCCGAAGACACCGTCACCAGTCGTTCGCGATAATCGGTGAACCAACATCAAGTAGTCAAAATTCACGTAGTTCATCGCCCTCGGGTCGCGTGAGTCCGTTCAAAGGTCGCGGATTCAACCCTGCAGGTTCCAGACACGCAAGTCCTTGTACTTCACCTACACCGCCGCAAGATCCTAAAAACATCCCGAGTACATCTAGGATTCCGAAACCGAGAAAATCTTCAACAGGAGCTGTGTTCGGGGAACGAGTTAGTCATGTGAGTTTTTTGAATAGGCAAGCCAGCCAAAGCTTAACGAGTCTTGAGGAAAGGCAAAAGCGACCGCCTCCGAGCCCAAGGAAAAGACTCAAAGGGAATACAGCGTTTAAACAATTGTCTCCTATTCAAGGTTCCAGTCCGGAGCCTAGTCAGTCATTGTCTTCCCCATGTAGAATTCCTACTAAAAGCAATAGCACTCCACCTAGTAGACTTACGTCACCTACAAGAAGTAGTAGACCTCCGGTTAGGAGCCAATCGAAACCAAATCTAGGTAGAATAAGTAGGAATCCTAGTCCGTCACCAACGAAAGTTCCCATCAACAGGTACCAACATGTACAATCGAAGGTTAACAGCTACCATAAACCAAAAACGAGCGACTTATCTGAGGACAGTAGTGAAGCTGCTACCAAAAAGAGAAAAACCTCGTTCAATAGGACATCTTCCAGGCCAAACTTGTTGCCCAAAACTTTTATGGGCAACAACTATACCAGTGATAGCAGTGACGCAACGCCCAATAAGTCAGTATCCGCGAAAAGTTTTGGTCCTAAAGTGACTAGTGACAATAAGAAACCTAATACACCCAAGCCCGATAAGAAATTATTTGATGAGCTACCGAAGACCAATAATAAGTCTGATGAAACTAAAACCAATAAAAAAGCTTCTACACCCAAGCCCGATAAAAAAGCTGATGAGCTACCAAAGACTAATGAGCTACCCAAGACCGATAAAAAAGCTGCTACACCTAAGCCCGATAAAAAATCATCTAATGAGCCATCCAAGACCAATAATAAAAACTCTTCTACATCTAATGAAACTAAACCCCTTCCCGAAGAATCAGGGTCCAATAAAGGGGAAGAAGTTCCTCTTGCAATGGATGTAGTTTCTAGCACCACAACTACAGTAACAAAACCCCTAAAAATCGAAACACCAAGTTTGGGTAATCGCAAACCAATTTCCCCATTAATCGATGGTAGAGTTTTGAGCGCTACAAGTGTCAGCCAAGCTATCAACAAAATGAACGACACAGTACTAAACACTCAAACCTTAATCAAAGACAGCGGCCTACAAACTAGACTCAATCCCACTATAACAACAACTAATAGTGAATCAAAACCGACTGCAACAATTGTCAATAGCAACAACAATATGAATAACAATAGTAGTGCAAAAATCATCAACAATCATAAACTGTTGGGTTCCATGGACTCGAGTTTGGCCAGTACACCGGTTAGCAACAACAAAAAGTCGGCCAATGATAGGATACTGGAAGCCAGGACTGTGATCGCTGCCGATGTGAAACCCATTAGGATTACGGTGAGAGAGAAACCGTCCGAGGATGTGCAGAGTGGCAATGTTGGACCTCACTTTGGGGTTTCGAATGGGATTAGTGAGAGAATTAGACCCAGGTGAGAATATTTATTTGTACTTTGAATACGAATATGTAGCAAAACGCAAAGTTCCAAAGTTAATTCACTTCATAGCCAATCATCATTTATAAAGTGAAAAGTTTTACTAGTCACTATAGAGTACTTACATTTAACTTTTCACTCGTAAAATTACTTAGTTAATTTACTTCAAAAAATCTCTAGAGCTCGCACATAATGTTGAATGACTTTAAATGTCTTTTTTTCACAATTTTCCGTATTTTTTCAACGTTTTCCCGAGGCAAAAATAAAAGAAAGCAAATTTTAACCGCACTGACTCATTAGATACTTAAACTGAATTGGACTGAACTTAAAAACTCATCCGATTCTTCTAAAGCCCCTGTATTTATATTTTCGATTTCCCCCAAAATATTATTAATTACCTACCAAAATCGACAATAGGCGGTAGTTTGACCATCTATATTTCAATTCTATCGGTCGACCTAGATATTATTCCAAAAATAAATTTCATCATTTAGAGGATGATGCAATCTGTTCGAAATTTTTGTCATTTTGGGTCCAATTTAATTAGGTGCTTAACCTTGTAATTGATCTTTTCCGGGTTCTTATTTATGAGTTCAAATGATGAGAGGTCCTTGGTCACTGATGGCTTGTTTAAAAGTCTTCCTCTATTCTTTTCTGTTTTGTTTCTTTATTCCCGAAATTGTCTTATTTCGTTCCTCTTTTATCATTATGTCTGGCACTTCTTGCTTCAATTGTATGGTTTTCTTGTTCCTTGTCAAAATCTCATCTCGATTGTATTTCCAGCCTTTTGATATTTCTGTGTTGTAGTCCAAGTTCCAGAAACATCATGCTGTTACTACTACTTTTGAACGAATTTCTATTTAGACTTCTTTCGGGAATTGTTAAATATGCTTTCAATGTTGTTATTAGTTACTTATAAGTGCGTTGATGAACATAATTACAATAACGAGTGTGAAAGATTAAAACGACGAGGTCGAAGACCGAGTCGTTCTAATCACACGAGTTTTGTAGTCATGTTTAAACGCAGGTGTGATGTACAACGTTTCATCTACAAAGCGAAAAATAGAAATGTTTTTTCAATGGCACGTAATATTGACAGTTGAGTTGAAGAGAGCGCTTCTGTACTTAGAGCTATTTAAATTTTGGCACTAAGCAGCTAAGTCTGATGTGTTTGGTCATAAATGACGCTCTGTATCATAACTCAATCGAAATGACTGGGTTTACATTGGCATTTTTTGATGAAAATCCAAGAATAAAATGTCATTTTTTTCTGACTAGGTTATCTCGTAAACTCGCCGCCTTTACTGTGCCTGGAAGGGAATTATTCAAATTTCTCAGAATGCCTTTCGGACTTATTGATGCACCTGCGACTTGCTAGCGCATTGTAGATATCGCTTTAGGTTCAGATCTTCAGTCTTCTGGTTTACAGTCAGTGATGGTTTAATTAGCTGTCAGTTAACTAATAATTATCAGTAGCTAACTGATAGCTAAACTAGATAGCCGTCCACTGATAAACCCGTCCTTAGAGATGCAGGACCTGTGCTTTTCTCTTATTGATAAAAATGTAAATTTTGCTTGCCCCAACCTAAATACCTTGGTTGTTATGTTGTTGATCGTGATGGCCTAAGACCGGATTCCAAAATGATTTTTATTTTAAGAGAAATCAGTGGCGTACGTACCATCAATTTATGCCAAACTAGGAAGGTCAAATTCTGTACGAACGCCATTAGTGTGGAAATTATTTATTTTTAAAAACCTTATATCTGAAAAGTTTAGGACATACGTTCATATAAAGTTTTCTTCTTGAAATGGACCCAAAAATGGCTTCCTTATATATTGACATTCAATGAGAAAAAACCCTGTATATTAGGTAGGTATAGACTAGAGTGACCCATTACCTATGTAAAGAAAAGAAATCGATGACAGTGACAGTTAAATGTTGAGAATCTCCATCGACTTTAGTAGACTAGATCCTAAAAATTTAAAATCGATATGGATTTTTTCTATGAGTATTAAATAATATGCGTAATATACAGTGTCCTCATAATGTTCGCTAGATAATAGGGAAATTTTTTATTTGTAATATATGGAATTTTTTCTTATGTGCGATCGGTCCTGCATGTCCGATAACCTAAAAGTACATTTTGACATTGGTCACGTCATCATTGTTGTGGCGGCAAATTCGAAAAATTAAATATGGAAACGCGAAAAGTGGGGTTAGGTGGCAAAATTCCAGAAAAAGTTATTTGGAAAAAGTTATTAGAACGATGTTTTAGGGCTGCATGCGAAATTTGGAGGAAAAATAACAAAAAACTGGTAATTTTTATATTATAAATGGCGCTCTGTATGACTTTGGTTCACACCGCCATCTTTTGATGAAAATCCAAAAATAAAATATCATTTTTTTTCGGACTAGGTTATCTCGTGAACTCATCGCCTTTACTGTGCCTGGAAGGGAATAATTCAAATTTCTTAGAATGCCTTTCGGATTTACTGATGCACCTGCGACTTGCCAGCGCATTATAGATAACGCTTTAGGTTCAGATCCTCAGTCTTCTGGTTAACAATCAGTGATAGTTTACTTGGATGATAAAGTTTTAACGAAATATTTGAAGAACCTTTTGGGTGGACATCTGCAATACTGTACAACTTTTGTATTTACACCTTTCATCTACCTGTAAAGGTAAAGGCTGTAGGTGGGGTGTCAATACATAAAGAAATACCCTGTATATGTATGCCAAATTTCACTAAAATATAAAGTCGTGTCACAGATGTTAATAAATAATAAATGGTTTATTTTTGAAAACTTTATCACCCTATATTTCAAAAGTTGAGACGTTTAGGAGAATGTTCATGTGAAGATTTCTTCTTAAAATGGACCCAAAAATAATGCCCCTTTAAATATTGACATTCAATTAGAGAGCTTCCTCTGTACAGGGTGTCCGGAATAACTTGAAGTAAATGGGGGTTTTGGAAATCATTGCAGAGGAAAAAGTTGCGCAATCAAGTGCCTACAAATAATCTGTCATCAACTTCTTTGAACTCGGAATATCAACGGATATACAGGGGAAAAAATTAAAAAGTGCATTTTATAAAAATTCTTGTGTTGTGCATTACATGTAAGACTATGGTAATCCTTGATCCTTAAGATTTCCCTTATTTCCTTTTGATTTTCCCTGATTGCCCTAGATTTCCTCGGATTTTTTCTTGATTTCCCCTAATTTGTTCACCAAATTGCGGTTTTAGGGTAAACCATGGACGATTTCTCCTGCACACTGCTCCATTATTCTGATTCAGTAATGTTTACATTGTCTGCTACTATTTTTAGTGTCGTCTACATAAATGACGCTCTGTATCATAACTCAATCGAAATGACTGGGTTTACATTGGCATCTTGTGATGGAAATAAAAAAAAAAATCTCATTTTTTTCTGAATAGGTTATCTCGTGAACTCATCGCCTTTACTGTGCCTGGAAGGGAATAATTCAAATTTCTTAGAATGCCTTTCGAATTTACTGATGCACCTGCGACTTGGCAGCGCATTGTAGATCACGCTTTAGATTCAGATTTTCAGTCTTCTGGTTAACAGTCAGTGATGGTTTACTTGGATGATAAAGTTTCAACGGAATACTTGAAGAACCTTTTGGGTGGACCTCTGCAATACTGTACAACTTTTGTATTTACACCTTTCATCTACCTGTAAAGGTAAAGGCTGTAGGTGGGGTGTCAATACATAAAGAAACACCCTGTATATGTAGGTATGCCAAATTTCACTAAAATATAAAGTCGTGTTACAGATGTTAATAATAAATGGTTTAATTTTGAAAACTTCATCACCCTATATTTCAAAAGCTGAGACGTTCAGAAGTATGTTCATGTGAAGATTTCTTCTTAAAATGAACCCAAAAATAATGCCCCCTTAAATATTGACATTCAATTAGAGAGCTTCCTCTGTACAGGGTGTCCGGAATAACTTGAAGTAAATGGGGGTTTTGGAAATCATTGCAGAGTGAACCAAATGGGGGAAAAGTTGCGCATTCAAGTGCCTACAAATAATCTGTCATCAACTTCTTTGAACTCGGAATACCAACGGATATACAGGGGAAAAAATTAAAAAGTCTATTCTATAAAATTCTTGTATTACTATGGTAATCTTTGATTTTCAAGATTTTCCTTATGCCTTACGGATTTACTGATGCACCTGCAACTTGCCAGCGCATTGTAGATAACGTTTTAGATTCAGATTTGTATTAGATTGACTTATAGGACCGGTTTATCAATGGACAATCATTCAGTTTAGCTGTCGGTCAAGTTATAATTATTATTGGTTAACCGGCAGCCAAACTAAATGATCACCCATTGACAAACCGGTGTTTAGAGATGCAGGGCTTAGGATTTGTGATTTCTCTTGATAAATGAAAATTTTACCTGCCACAACTTAAATACCTTATCACTTGATTATGTTAGTTGTTGATCGTGATGGCCTAAAACCGTATTCAAAAATGATTTTTATTTTAAGAGAAATCAGTGGCGTAGGTACCCTCAATGTTTGTCAAAATGGGTAGGTCAAATTCCGTACGAACGCCACTGGTGTGGAAATTATTTATTTTTGAAAATTTTATCACCTTATCTCTAAAAAGTTAGAACGTTTAGGACATACGTTTATATGAAGTGGTTTTCTTGAAATGTACCCAAAAATCGCCTCCTTATTGTCAATGGACCCATCTGGATTGGTTCTCACTTTATACACCCACTTACATGGTACTAGCTTCTTTCGTGTTGGTAACTTCTTAATCTCCCCAGTACAATGTTTTTTTAGTGACTGTATTTCCTTTTTCATTTCCTATTCAATGAGAAAACACCCTGTATATTAGGGTGATCCATTATGTAAAGAAAAGGAATCGATGACAGGTATCAAACCTCATGCAGGACGCCTTAGGAATCATTGAAGAATGGTGCACTTCGGTGTCAACCCCTCCAAAACAAAACTCATTCAT